TTGCTAATTTTACCACTGGACCCCTTCCTCTGATCCATTCTAAACCATCCAGGGGGCCCGACCCAAACCATAGATTTTGTCCAATCCTGCCAATCCTCACGTGCGTTTTCTTCAGAAACATTGAAACATATTGAAACATGATCAACAAGAATCCCAAAAAAGTGCTCCCCGCTATGCCGGGTCAGTCCCCCCCCCTCCCTCCCTGGGCGATGTCCGCGATGGAGCCTGGCCTCACTCATACAATTGTAGGTCTTGTAGTCATCATTGTTCCTTGGAACAGATCCAACCGAGGATGCAACTGGATTCGGCTTCTACTAACAAGTGCATCGCTTCTAGTAACAAGTGCCTTACTAGTAGGAACAAGAAGCTATTAGAAACAAGTGCCTGGTTTTTATGCTTCGCCTCCTGCAGAATGGAAACTCACCACGTCCGGTCCTCTTGACCGTTCGCCAACCGGACCCGGAACCCGACGGTCCAAGTGGCTTCAGGCACCCGGTGGCGGACTCGCCAAAGGCCTCGAGCGGATCTTGGGAGACCTGGCAGCGGCCCCGTCGTCCGTCCTAACGGCCAAGGAGTTCCGAACATCTTGGAATTTGAGACGACTAGTCCATTGACAAAGAACATGACAACGGCTGAGGGGGTGATGGATCCCGTTGATCCTGGCGCCAAAGTCCCGGCTCAATGAAGGAGAACAAACCGCCAAAACTGCCTCACTCACCTCCAGGATCCACCAACCCAGAAACATGTGTGGGCCTAGGCTAAAGATGAAGATGCGTCACGAAACTTGAAGGGTAGGGGCCATAGGGGTGTTTTTTGTTCACATCCACTTACTGCCTTTGGAAACGAAGCAAAACGCCTTTGGAAACTGCTGGCAGATGCCGTTGGATGCCGGGCTCATCGCCTCCACATCCCACAACATGATTTCGACGCCCACCGTGGCGTCGCTGCTCGAATCCTGCACATCTGTGAATCTGGTTGAAGACACTCCCAAAAGCAGGGCTTAAGAAAACGTCTTTGATTTGTTTCATTCTGTCATGAATAACATTGAAATAGAGTGTTGCTCTTCTATAGGTTGGAGGCCATCGCTCTTTGGTTGGAGGCTTGCCTTTGGAGTCGGCCTTTGGCACGTTGCAGGCGATCGATCGTCCGTCCGTCGGGCTCGACTCCTGGTCGAAGTCTCTGAAGTTCATGAGGCCTCGCAGCTCGCAGCCGAACACTGTTCTCAAAGCAGGATGAACAGTGGTGAGGTCCTAGATCTGCGGTCTCGTTTCAAGGACCCCCCGAATTCCTGTGGCCAGTAGAAAGCAACTTGCACGCTGGAGTGCCCGCTTTCAAGTAAACAAAAACATATCAGTAAGACCGAAGTTTCCCTAAAAAATCTAGGAACCAAATGAATAGTGCGAGCACTTCTTCAAGGAAGCTCCTTGAAAGAGTGTGAGCGATCCTGCGTCCAGTAGCTAGGAGCGCCCAGTAGCTTACTTAATCAGTAGGCGCCTACTGAATTACGCAAGAGAAAATGTTTAAGAAATAGAAAAAACACATATATATATATATATTAAAACAATAGTGATTTGGTACAGACCTTGGAATCTGTAGGCGTGTATTGTGTATGTATATATAGCATGGCCTTCTCAGGTCTTCTGCCCAAGCTCGTGTTACCGACATCAGGGCAAGCTATCCTGGACAAAAATTGAAAAAGAAACCTGGAAGACAAACGGATGAGTCATACATGATATTGACCACTACAAGCCCAAAGTATCCCAAACTGCACTCCCAACCATCGCTAGTAGGTTGGAGGCCATCGCAACTACTAGCAAGAAGCTACTAGTAACACGGGCATCGCTACTAGTCATGTCCATTCCAAAAATGCCTACAACATCCGGCATCGACCCGGGCATCTCGGCAGGTCAAGGCATCGTACTGCGCGGCAATGGGCTCACAAACGCCCCAAGAGGCACCACCGCCCACACCTGGGGGAGGAGGCAGGGAACATGAAGAGGCGAAGATGCCATGAAGTCCTCAAGTTCCAGGTCAATAAGGACAATCTGATAACACTCCCCGATGCAGTCACTTCATCATGTCATGTAGAGCAGGGAAACCCTGGCCATCTCGGAATGCGGCAAACCCAAAAAGGCCAAAGTTCAGACCAAAGGGACTCAAACAGAAGAAACTCGGACCCCAAACGGGCTCTTGGACCTGGAACCGTTCTTGCGGTTGAAGGGCATTTGTTGCGGACGCACCCTGTCGTATCGGTACGTGCTTCTTCACACGTGATCTTCTCTGAGGCTTCCAGCGGACGAAGTGTCGCGCCGCGGTGGTTGAGAAGCCCTTTCCGCTGAAGACCACCTGCGGTGCTCTCCGTCGAACGAAACGGAGCTCCATTGACCAAAAAGATGGAGGAACCGCGCATGCGAACAAACTAGAGGGTGTCATAGATTGAACATTCCCAGTGTCGGGTGGTGCAGGAGATTCTGGTGGTCCTTCACACTTCTTTGGGAAGAAGGAGGACCAAATAGCGATGGCCTCGAACCCACTAGCGATGGCCTCCAACCTAGTAGTGATCGCCTCCTACCTAATAGCGATAGCCTCGAACCTACTAGCGATGGCCTCCAACCTAGTACTAGCGATGGCCTCCAACCTAATAGTGATGGCCTCCAACCTACTAGCGATGGCCTCCAACCTGGTAGCCATCGCCTCCAACCTAATAGTTATGGCCTCCAACCTACTAGCGATGGCCTCCAACCTACTAGCGATGGC